GCTACCAAGTACTGTGCCTTCCATCAACAAATCGGCCATGACACTGACGGTTGTTTTCGTCTTCGCCATGAAGTTCAAGATCTGATTAACAACAAGGTCATCACTGCACTAGGTCCTATAAAGTCTATCGGCACTGGATCGATGAACTTAGGGGATAATGTGACTATGTGATCGAGGATGAACCACTTTCTGATGGCACTCATTTTACTCCGGCCATGGTGGATGACACGCACTCTTTTGTGACAATATGAAAATGCTGTTTATTTTACTTTCTGAATTGGGTATTAAGTGCGTTTTGTTGTATTGAGTTAGTCTTGTTGTTTTGAGTCAATCTTGTTGTGTTAGGGTTAGGTGATTTCGGGGGTGTTAACTCAGACATCACTCTTTTGTTTTTGTGTTTGTCCTTTTCACTATTTCTTTTGAGTCTATTTCCATTGAGCCAGTTGCGCCAGAAGTTCTGAATGAAATGGCAGTAATTTTCATCCACTTCTTTGTGCCTTTAAATCATTCCATTGACCAAAGTTTTTTTTTTTCAAAACTTTTCCAAAATTGTGGTGAAAACAAATAGGGAGGAATTCCTTAGGATTTGCAAAATTTGATCAACTAAGAGGAAGAGAGGCCTGCTAAGCCATCTTGTGTTATTGGCATAACAATTCATTTGATTACATTAAATTTTGAAAGTTGATTTGAAAACTTGCATTAAGAAAAGAATGTTGAGAAACAGGTTTTCATGAAATAGTTTTGGGGTAAATACGTTGGTAAGTCTTGATAGGTGGCGTAGATGATATTGAATAAGACATTGCTGATCAATGACGATAACATGTTGAACAATGTGTTAAGTGTTGGTGCCAGCTGATGTATGTTGAGAAGGAGGTCGTAGGTGATGTCTTGCAGAGGACACAATTGGATTTTGGCCTTTTCACTCGTTTGATGACGCAAGGGATTGACACGACATACTATCGGTCTTCTATTTGCATCCTAGAGCATCGCAGGAAACATTTTAAGGGCATGATGTGGGATCTAGTTTTGCTGTGGGGTATGATTATGCATTTCACACTACTGTTGTAGCGATTCCAGTTTTGCCACTTTGCTGAGTATGTCGGGGATTGAGCTGCCTGGTCAACTCGCGGGGGTCCAGGGGGTAGCGCCCCTTGGCGAGTCTTAGGGCAGCGCCCTGGCGGGGTTGAGGGGCAGCGCCCCCGATGCAAAAATGCAAAATGCATTAGAAGTTGTTTGTCTGCTCGAGCGGCCGTTTATGCACTCGAGCGGAGAATGTTTGGTTCCAGAAGTTTGACTTGTCTGCAAAAGTACTGGGAAAGTGTATTTGACGCTCGAGCGGGGCTTTCCATTCTCGAGCAGACCATGTTATATCAGTTCGTGAATCTGATATTTCAGATCACTTTTGTATATCTCTCTCTCTCTAAAAACCCTTTCCTCTCCCTTCTCTCTACATTTTCCTACGCCAAATTGGATCAAAATCTTGATTTCTCAAGATCCATTAGAGTTCTGCCATAAGTTCTTCATCAAAATTAGTTAACTTCTCAAGGGTTTCGTTATATGTGGTGAAGATCGAGTTTCGACACCGTTGATTTTGGGGGTTTTTTCTCATTTTTTCTTCAAAACTTGAGTTAGAGATTTTCTTAGAGTTATATATATATTTTTGCAAGATCTATATGATTTTTGAAATCATCTTTTGATAGCTTTGAAAATTGATTGTTTATTCAAGAAGTTGAGCGATTTTGAAAGTGGGTTTGTCTCTTGTTCTTTTAAAATGATCTTATGGGTTTCGATTTTCGTTAATTGAAGAAAAGATGAATTTGGAAAGTTTTCTTTCAAAATATTTGAACTGTATAGTTTTGGTGAAAAAACCTAGAATTTAGGGATTTTTTTTTAAAGAGACTGAAAATCCATGAATGATATTGTTATATTTATTTTGTGTGTCAAAATAAATGGATGTTTGGAAAATTTCTTATTTATATTTATATAAATGATGAATTTCAGAAAATATGAGAATTGTTGTTCATTTTGGAAATTATTGTTCAAAATATTAAAATAGTCTTGAAATGACTAATTGTTAAGGATACTCGAGAAGAGGGAATTGTGTTATTCCTTAGATGATAAATTGGAATAAAAGTATTTACATTAATCTTGTGTTATTGGCATAACAATTCATTTGATTACATTAAATTTTGAAAGTTGATTTGAAAACTTGCATTAAGAAAAGAATGTTGAGAAACAGGTTTTCATGAAATAGTTTTGGGGTAAATACGTTGGTAAGTCTTGATAGGTGGCGTAGATGATATTGAATAAGTTGGCCTGAGAGTTCGGGGTAAAAGACCGAAAACCCGCGCGGATAGGTGTCGAGCCTTCCTGTTAATGCCGGTAAAAATGACAATTTGGTAGTACTTGTATAGTCTACTTGCAGACACCAATCTAGGGATTACCAGAATCGTGTTTACCGCCTTTGAAATAAATTGTTAAGTTTTGAATAATTGAAATTGCATGACATCATTGAGCATGATGGATTTTAAAAAATGAAAATGTGATTTATCTTCAAAAAGGGCATAGCATGGCATGTGTATTTCATCTCTTGAGATTTGTATAAAATGTATATACTTTGTTAAGGATTTCCTACTGGGCTTTATGCTCACCCTACGGGATTTTTGTGCAAGAAAAGATGTGGTGATGCCGCCTAACTAAAGGCGAGGAAATTTGTGTTGAAAGTACGAGACTCTCATTTTGCTGTGACTCTGTGTGTAAGCCAAGGACTGTATGTGTATGGGTTTGAATAATCGTTTTGTGTAACCAGGCTCAAGCCTTGAAAACTTGTAAACCCTAGGGGATATTTATTTGTTTATTTACTTGTTGTTGGATTAATGTATTATTGCATGAAGAACTATTGTATCATGTAATGTAAGTTTGGAGATTTATATCCGGTTTTCCTTGTAAGAGCCATGATTATTGTATTATCATTTGGGTTAGAAATTTGGGCCGTTACAACTGCTCTAGATTTCCCTAGTTGTACTCAGCATGCTAGTCCTATCGAAGTTGGGGGAAGCATACCGGGGATTGAACTATGTGCAGTTTGCTGATAGTATTATGAACAATGATATATATGGTGTTGATGCCTCACTAGAATAAGAGGAAAATGAAATGTTTGTTGAAGAATGGGGTTTAGACCAGCACGATGATGAAGAAGATGATGTTGTCATTGCTGGCCATGACACCTCAGAGCCTAATGTCGTTAATATGCATGAGCCTAGAATCCATATGGGGAAGGGCCAAGCTGAAATAGCATACTTAAGGTTGATGAATTTGATGAAATTAAATATTTGATATAAATAAATATATAACATTAAAAATATGACATAAAATAAAAAATATTTGTATATGTCGTGTCACGTGTCTGTGTTCGTGCTTCTTAGCTCACCACCTATCCATAGATGGCTTGGGCTCCAATACTTCCAGAGCTTATAATAGGGGTATCCATGCATGTAGTCGAACTTGATAACACTTGAATAGCTCATCCACAGTAACCCCATAACTCAGGTGTTTATGTTTCTCACTATCACCCTCTCCATCTCTAAGGCTACCTTCGTCTTCTCCTCTGCTGCCTCCAGCGATCTTTGGCCGTTGCATATTCTCAAACGTCTGTCCATAACTGACCACCTCTCATACCTAATACCTACATAACCTAAATTGGGTTCGAGTTCTTTCATCTAGTGTGTTAGTTGCTTCAATCAGCGGATTTTGGTGCTGATTAGATGCTTAAGTTCCACAAGAGACATGATGAACCAAATTACCACAATTCAATTTAAACTATCTTTATTATTTGTATTAGTGTTAGATGCTGTACAATGCTACAAAAGTACGTTTCCGTGCTAAGTGAAGTAAATTCAATGCATAAATGCACCATATAGTATGTGTTTATGATAACTTGGTAAAATAAACTTGCTGGATAGATGAACCTTCAACCAAATCCAATACTAGGTCAACCTTGTATGTTGAGTAGTGGGGCAATGCCATCCTTTCGTTTATATGCTTTGTAAAGTATTTAATTTTATTGTCTCGGATAATTGAAGTGAAAATTAAGAATAGCTCCAATAAAATTTTACCTACATAAAAAAAAGAAAGAGAAAGGATTTAAAAAAAAAGGTATTTGCATGTCAAATAGCTGTTTCTGGAAAATGTTTTCAAGCTTCAGCCAAACACTGAAATTTTCCTGTGGAAAGATTTTCTTGAAAAAAATATATTCAGAAGTAAAATATTTTACATTGAAACAAATTTGTAGTGTTAACTTATAATTGTCAAATTAAAATGAATTGTTCAAATTTTTGATTTCCTCTTATAAGTTACAACTATTTGCCATGACATCACAAAGGAGGTTTGCTTTAGCTACATACTGTGAGGGATGGATGTTGGGACACGTGTTGGCAATGCCCTTGGATCTGAGAGAGTTCTATGAGTGGCTTATTTGTCTCAGCCTCTCAGGATTTATTTTTCTGATTATCAAAGCACCAACAGCAGTAGTCTGTTGCACTTACAGTCGTCTTCAGCGGTAGTTTTTGGATTTAAAATCAGACTGATTATGACCATATGAAGCAGTCATTGTACTGCAAAACAGTGGCCATGGATGCATTTGTTATGAGATTCGATGAAGCAATTGATGATATTTTTATTATTATTTTTTTTAGACAAATTTTCAAATAGTTAAGGCATCTTGTAGTATTCTTTCAAAAAGATTGATGGGAGCTGAACATGTCAACAAATTTAAAATTTTCTGAAGATTTGACACTAAATTCTAAGTTTTTATTTAGTGGGGTGGCAGTAGGTTTATATAAGTAATATCTGTTTTCTTGATCTTTGTGTGCTAAGACAGTCTAATAGATTCTCAATCATTTTGCATTCATAGTACACTGACAACTCATAATTTTGGATATTGTTTAAGTTCTTTATGGTATATTTTTACTTGACCTTGCAGATGATCGTAAAATGTGATTTTGCAGGTTTGATGTCTTTGTTATTTAGGCGTTGCCCTTTCCTACAATAACATCATAGCACATGGCACTAGCAGTCTCTGTTGTTCAATCGTGTGGCACGGTATAAATGAAATCTACACTCATCTTTTTTTTAGCTTTTTGTTCCTTATGCTTGGTTGTTTCTTAATGGAGAGTGTAATGGTCATTTTTCAAGGTTGATGATAGGGGTATCCAAGCCATCTTTTCTACCCAATTTTTTAACTGTCCTAGTTTTATGGACATTTTTGGCCATTGGATTGCTGAATTTGATTAAGGATTGATGCTTATATCCTTATACATATGTTCCCAATCTGATATTTATGCAACAAGATGTTTAGGTTCTCTTTGTAGCGTTGTGATTGCTCAATCAAGAAATAGCAGTTCAAAATTGACTGTTTTGAGCTTAGTTTAGACATGATTTTTAAGGAATTGAATACATTCATGAGAATTTATCCCATTTCAGAGTGAACCACAAAAATCCTTGCATAATAAACAACAACAATAACAATAACAATAACAATAGTAGTGCAAATTAAAATTCACCCTCTTTCTACTTACTTTGGGCCCCGATTTGTCATTATAATGTGGATTGAACATGTTTAGAGGTTTGACAAGGAAATTACTCAATAGCTGGACGATTGAGTGCATTTAATAATGCTATCATTTACCATTTGGGTTTAAAAATTCTCTTCCAAAGGGTCTTGCTTACAAGTTAAAGAGATTTGACTTGTCACCAAATGCTGTCTACACTTTGTAGATTAACAAATTTATTTTGTAACTTTAAATTCGTTAAATATTTCACCTGTACTATTTTGGTACTAAAATTTTTTAGTAGCTAATTATAATTTTGTCAAATAACTCCTTAGTCTATTGATTTACTTCGACTAATATTTGGATTGACAAAGGTGCAAATAATGTTTTGTCCATTGTTTATTGTCTCAAATATTTGGTGTGGGAATTATGAGTCCTGCTTCACCATTACAGCATATTATATTCTTTGGTATTGCATAAGAATGGATGTATCTTTTTTACTTATTTTTATCCTTGTTTTTTGGTGTTTCTATTGCTGTAGCTTATATAACTTGTGCTTCTTTACACATGTCCATACTATCTTTTGTAACCTAGTCTTTGTATGATGTTATCTTAATTGCTGTTAGTTATATTATGGTATATCATATCTATAGTCCCGGATAATTTCAATTGCATGATTTGTACGTTACGTACCTAAATCATTATAGATCTCATTTTGAAATATCAGGGTCCACCCATTTAATGTTTAACTGTGCTTTTCCATTTTCCACCTGAACTTGATGGTAGCTGAAATCATTTCTCCTTTTTCTTAGTGTTTTGGTGAGAAATGCTTGAGAAGTGTGATAACATTTGAAGCAGAGAAAGGATATATGAATGTTCTCTGTAATAAAATGAGGTATTGTTGGTGGTTTTTTATCAAATTATTTAAACAAAGATGGGAGTGAGAGGGAAGTGCTATACTGAATGTTCATGATTTGTTACAGGTTTAAAAATTTTCTGTTCTCTAGGGTTTCAAAATTATGCTCTCAATCAAAGCATAAGATTGCAGAAAGGCTGTTGGAGGAAGTGGAAAGGTATGAAGCGGCAAGTGTCACAGACCGTTCAAAGTTGCTTAATAAGGTTTGCAAGCTAGTGTTTATGTTGCATGATATATGTAGCTTGGCATTATTTAGATTGCATTCATTTTAAATCAGCCAAGGCTATGTGATTTGCATATGTACCTTCTATGCCCTTCTACCTAAATTTGTTGTCTTATAATTTGCAATTAAAGATTTTGGCCTTGTTTGGTTTGTTTTTGAGAAACAAATTTTGGAGAAATTTTCTAAAATTTTGTTTGGTTTGGTGATTTTGGAATTTTTTTTTTCCAAAATCACTTTCTCTCTCCTACACATCAATCAATCACTTTTTCTCTCTTCTCTCTCCTTCTCAATCATTTTTCCTCTCACATACATCTACTCATCAAATTTTTCCAAACTCCCATACTCCAAATCTATTTCCAAAATATACAACCAAACAAACCAAAAAAATTTCTAAACTCTTTCC